CAGCTCTTTCTGCCCCCGGGTCCTGTCCCCGTGCTTTAATGAAATCACCTTTTTGCACCAAAGATGTCTCAAGAATTCTTTCTTGGCCGTCAGCTCCGGATGCCCACCACTCCAAAACCACGTCAAAAATCCTACTACTTGAAAGACATCTACCACTGACAGCTTTCTATCTTCCTAGTTGTTTCTGTTTCTATTTCTCTGTGTGTGTGTCTAGGAAAAATTTATTTTCCCTCCAAGATGATGAAGAAAAATCTTTTTTCTTATGGTCTTTTTTTTTTTAAACCCGATACATCTCCCCCGGCCCCGCCCCCACTTTCCTGCTCTTCTGCTTGAAGGTGGAATAGTTTGTTCGAGGTTGAACAAAACCCAGCGAATTTACTCAAGGACTCATCCATATCTTTTCCAGTTCGATGTTCAGGTAAGAATCTGAACATTGTTTTATGGTGTTTCCTCAGAAGTCCTTCCTCAAGACCTACCCTGGATGCTCTTCAGAAGTTCCAAGACTTCCAGTGTGTGGGATGCCTAGGTATACAGTGTAGCCATACTTTTATGAAAACCACAGAATGTGGGGCCTACAAGAACACAGATCTTCCAGTTGGTCCCCCTCACTTAAAGGATGAGCAGGCTGAACTACAGTGTTAAGTACTTACCCACGATCATGCAGCTAGTTGGGACAGGGCTGAAGATGCCGGCCTTGATTACCTTTATAGATTGATCGTTCCACTGTCTCCAGCTCGTCTAACAATCAACCTCCACCTAAAACTAAACGGAAAACACTCAATGAAGCACCAACTCTTGCCAAGCAAATTGTATTTACTCGTGCCACTGATCAGGGAAAAGGGTACACGGTTTGGTAGAGATTGGGCTGGACCTTTTAGTGCTAACTTGTTTTGAAATGTCAGAAAACTTTCTCCTTGGAAATCTACATTACTATGATAGGATTACAACAAAGAGGAAGTATTCGGGGCCACTTACCTCATTCTTTCCTAATGTTTGAGAAATGGAGGATAAGAAAAAGATGTAGGAAAAGGTTGGTCCTTGATCATGAACTGTAGCATTGGTCCGTGTGTATATTCTACTTTGGTTCTTAATCTGATTTCTAGAGATCAGCATGACCTGAGGTGCAATTCATTCGAGCAAAAGTAGAAAAACCGAGTCTCTTCAGAGAGGCCAAGCCCTCTCTTCACGGATAGTTTTCAAACTGAGCTTTCCGGCCTCAGTTTGAAGCCCCAGTAAGGTGGTCTCTCATTCATTCTCTCTGAATTCTAAAAAGTGCCAAGTCTAAAAAGATTGGAATCTCTTACAAAGGCGGGAACTGTGTGAAAAGGGCGGGAACTGTAGTTTTAAGAGTGCTTCTAAAGAATGTTCCAATGGGCCTAAAGGCCTTACAGAGATTAAAGGTTTCCTGGGTGGGAGTGGGGCTGGGAGCGGAAGCTGATCCACCTGGTTGGACAGGGGCAGACGCACATCCAAGAGCGGGGAGAACCCAACTGCAGGGAGCTAGAGAAGAAAGGGCTCTGGCGGGGGAGGTACAACCCAGCTCTCTTCCTCTGCTCCCTCTCAAAATCTCACTTTAGGATCAAGAGCACAGGTGCTGGCCAACGGGGCCACTGCCCTACGCCAGCAAACAAAGGGCGCAGCCTCCCACAGCCTTTTTGGTCTGAATGGAGGCTCGGCCTTACCTTTCTGGGTCCACCCATCCCTCCGCATGCACCCAATGAGGCCGCAGCCTTCTCCAGCCAGGAGGTGTTGAACTCTCGCAAGAAATGGACAGGTAGCGCGGACCAATAGTTGGAGCCGCCGCGGGCCAATGGGAGAGGGAAATGGGTCGACCTGGGGCTGAGAATGAGAGCCCGCAAAAGGGGGCGGGGCCTCGGGGGAGGGACACGTAGGCGCAGGGGGTGGAGAGGGGCGGGCGGGTGGCAGGCGGGACGAACCTGCGGACGGTCGGCCGCGGCCAATGGGAGGGCGGGTTGGCGTGTGGGGGGTGGGTCCGGTGCCGGGCGGCCCCGCCCCTTCGGGTCCGCAGGGCTGGGGCGGAGCCAGGTCCGCGTCAGGTGGTCCCGGGCGTGCGGGCGGCGCTGGGGGCGGGGCGCGGCGCGGAAAGGGGAGCGGCGGCCAGCGGGC